AATAAATAAAAATAAATAAATAATTTTATTAGAGAATAAATAATTAAAGTTAAAAAATAATTATGAGATTAAATTTAAAATATTTATTTTTGAATAAATAATTATTATTTTAAAATAAATTTTAAATTAAAAATATTTATTATTTTGAGTATGATGGAGGAAATAATAAATAAATATAGAGTGGAGTTGATTGAAGATGTTTTGATAATTTTAATATTAGGTGATATTTTTTTTCAGTTATTGAAAAATATATTTTTATTGATTATTGCTTTTTTGTATTATTTAATTTAATTTTTTATTTGTTTAAGTATAAATTTTAAATATACTATATAAGTAATAATTAAAAAAATTTATTAAATAAAAATACTTTATTAAAACTTTATATAAAAGAAAAAAAATTCATTATTATTGATATAAGTTATTAAATTTTTATTTAAAATTTATATTTAAAAAATAAAAAAAATTAAATTAAATTTACTGAAAATAATATATATATAATGAAGTTTATTAAAGATGATTCGATGATTTTAGCATTAGGCGACACTTTTTTTTTTGTTTTTTGTGAGATTGAAAAAAAATTTCTATTGATTATTTGTCTTTAATCTCCTTTTTTTTCCTTAAAAAAACCCTATTAGTCTTTGATTAGGTGCCCTATAACCTGACACACAGACCTAAATTTGAAAAAGAAGATGGGGTTGGAAAACCAAAAAGGGCCTTGGACCCGTCCTTACTTTTGAAGAATGTAATCCTTAAGTTAGTGCTTCAACTTAGTTTATTTTCTCAATCTATCTCTCGAACTTAGTTTTGGGTCAATTAAGTTACTCCACCCACAATAATATGGCCAATTAGTGTTTAACGAGGTCATTTGTCATTTCTTTGTTAAGAAATTTTCTCATGTAGTTTATGCGAAAGTTGACACTAGTCACTTCTTTATTAAGACATTCCACTCACCTACTTCAACTTGTAAAAATATTAGAAAAGAGAGAGAGAAAAAAAAAACATTTTCTAACGGGGTAAATTTTGAAATTGGGAAATGAGTGAATGGAACATTGGTTGGGTTTGAAACTACAAATTTGGGGCATACGACATTTGACACTGGGCGTAGCATTCCATCTGCACTACAAGGTGGTTGGGCAAATTTGTTTGAACTTAGTGAATATATATATATATATATTTGGTACATAAAAATTGAAAATTAAATTTAAACATATATAAAAAGATACATATAATTTTATTATCGAATTATAATAATTGACAATGTGAATGGTTATACATTAGTTTTTTTCTACTTGAACTACCATTCAACTTCCATGTAAATTAGGGAATCTATATCTCTCTAAGCAATCTATCGACTAAGATGTGGCAGTCAAAAGAAATTTCCCATTAATGGATCTTAATAGCCCAACTTGTATGACAAAAAATGTTTCAAGACTGAATTGAGAAAACAAAGTAGTTTAGAGGCTAACTTGAACGAAGAATGTGGTGAAATCAGGAATGACAAATTCTGAGGGGGTCAATTGGATAAAAGGTTATTGCATTAAAGTTTAAGCTTATCGACTCCAAACTCTAGGTACTGGAACCGCCCGACTCTCATTTATGACTGTAATGAAGTGTTTCTGTTGGGTTGTGCTTGGAAGGGTCCACTGGGGCGTTTGCCATTGGTGGCCGAAATCCATGAGGGTAAGCTGCTCACCTTAGCCGCCGGCAATGCAAAAGCAATTATTAAAAGGTACGGATACATGGGTAATTTTTTTAAAAATAAAATTTATGTATTATTAAATAAATATAGATAATATTATAATAATTTATTAAAGTGAAAAAAAATACTCCATTCATTTATTTATAATAGTTTTAGTTTAATTTTTTAATTTTTTAAATATAAATTTAATATATTATATAAATGATAATTAAAATTTTTAATTAAATTAAAGTACCCAATAAGTATTTTATTTATAAAAAAATTTTCAATTATTATTTATATAAAATATTAAATTTTTATTTAAAATTTATATCTAAAACATTAAAAAATTAAAATAGATTTATTAAAAATAAAAAATAATAATTAATTAATATATAAAATTATTAAAAAAATTATTAAAAAAATCATTTCTCAATCATTTTTCATCCTTAAATTCAGAATGTGACAAGAAAACAGAAAAAGATCATGCGTTACAAAACCTTAAAAGCAAATATAATATTCAATTTGGGAACTCCAAAACAAAAGTTGCATGTCAGATGAGAGGTTTAGTCGAGCCAAGCCGACTAGTGTAAAGCTTTAGCTGGACTACATAAACATTATATGGTCACTTAAGTTCAATGCTCAATTGAGCCTCATGATTAAGGCGTTGGTGGAGTTTTTTGACATTTTTATTTTTTTAATATTATTTATAAATTATAAATTTAAATTTTTATTAAAAAAATTTAAAAATTATTTTTAAAAATAATAAAAATTAAGTTAAAAATAAGTAAAAAGAAAATTTATAAAAAAATAAAAATGGAAAATTTTTAAAATTTTACTATTTAAGATTTTTTTAAAATTAAAAAAAATTAAAAAATGTAAAATTTTCAAAAAAATTTAAATTTACAAAACATGAATAGTATCAATGCTCAATTGAACCTTACATGCTTAAGGCTTATTTGATAGAGTTTCTTGAAATTTTTATTTTTTTATACTATTTATAAGTCATAAGTTTAAATATTTATTAGAAAAAAATTTAAAAATTATTTTTAAAAATAATAAAAAATGAATAAAAAAGAAGTAAAAAAATTTATAAAAAATAAAAGTTTAAAACTTTTTAAAACTTACTATTTAAAATCTTTTTAAAATTAAAAAAAATTAAAAAATATAAATTTTTTTTAAAAATTTAAATTTATAAAATATAAATAATATAAAAAAATTAAAATACTTACAAGTTTCACTTAATATTACTCTAATTAATCGGATCGGCTTGCAAGCTGATCCAAGATGCTCACTCGATCTGGCTTGCTAAAAGAAATTATTATGTGGTTGGTGAAAGTGGGCACCCAATACTGGATACCAACAGTGCAGGACTGTCCTATGCTATTGCAGTTTGTAAGGAAACCTTATCCAGGAATAATGGGCATGGCTTTAGGGCCCTTTCAATTTAAAAGATTGAAAATCACGGGTATTACTAGATTGTCTCCTTCCAATTTGTTTGGTCTCTCATTGGATAGGAGCTGGGCAGCAATCATCAATGGAGTAGTACAACTGCAATAAAATATCACTTTCTTTACCCTATTAGGAACTGCCATATACTTAAGGGGTCGAGAATTAATGGGATCACGTGATACACTCTCTATTTTATTTTATTGATTAAATAATTTTTTTTTAAATAATCTTTTATAAATTTTTTAATTAACTTAAATAATAAGTTATTGATTGAAAGAACTTATCCCTTCAGACTAAGTAGTTCTAGTCACATTTGTAAGGTTTATATTCTCTATTTTAGGGCAACAGTTCGAGTCGGTCCCATGATAAAATGTTAAAAAAAAAATTATTGATTGAAAAAAAATAAACATTCAAGTTCAATAATTTATTTTTATGTTTTAATATTTAGATTTAGTTAATCATAATTTTTACTTTCATTGATTACTTAAAAAATTTTTCATTCTCTTATAATTCTCTATACTCAAAAAAGTCATTGATTGAAAAAGATTTGATTATCTTAAAAGAAATAATTTTTTATAAAACCATTAATTTTGACATAAATAACTTATTATTAATTGTAAACCAATTTTTCTCTGATGATAAGTGTTACAAATTACATCCGGCCATCCCCAGGAATAAAACTGTTTGTATTACTACTTGAAGATTAAAGTAACTAAGTACAATTTGCATCAACTCATTTGCAGTTTTGGCCTCAGAATTAAACAGTCTGCAGTTTCTTTCAATCCAAAGGACATAAAAGTAATGGCAAAAAGAGTTTTAACTTCCTCACTTCCATACTCCTACCACTTCACCTTTTCAAGACCTTTCTCCATTCCCAAAACCGCTGTACACAAACCAAGCCAAGTCCTGTTCTCTTAATCTCTTCAGTGGCTATGACCAGATTTGTTTCAAGCATCCACGCTCAAAAAACAAATGATTCACGTATCTTCATCACCATCAGAACAAAACAAGCATCTTTTCATCCACATTAATACCCCATGCATTTAGCAAAGCCTTTGTTTTCAATCTTTTCTCAAAACAATAGCCATAGCATAAAGCTTTGCCTAGATAGTATATGTTTTGACCGTATGTATGAAAACCAAGCCACTTTTCTAGCCTTAGTTCTCAATTAATTCATAGCAACTGGAAATGGAAAACTTAATTACCAAACTTCCCATTGACAGTGATCCACATAGCATTGTCATTCCTAAAACTTAAAGAGATATTCCAACTCCCATGGGAGATCCAGTGAGCAATTTGGAGCCCCATGTTGCAATTTCAGTGGATAGTTCTTTCAACCTTGCTAACCTACCTGCCTCCGGTCAACAGTAAAAAAATAAGAGGTCCAAAAAAATAAAAACTCAAGGAGAGAAAAAAAAATTGAAAACCAAATGACATTGTTTGGTTCTCAACAAAAGGTTTGATCGTTTCAGCAGGCTCTTCATGTAT